TTTGGTTATACTTCCCTTTTGGGTGTTTAAGGACATACAATTGGACCAGATAAACTGTTTTGTTTTTACTCTTGAGGTCATTAGAGGATTTGTTCCTCAGGGTGTGTTTGTTTTTGTTGTTTTGAGACAGGGTCTCTTATAGCCCCAGCTGACCTGGAACTTGCTGTATAGACCAAGCTCTCCTCTATCTCACAGTTATTAATCTGCTTTGAGTGTATTTTCAAGGAAATAGGACTTGCACTATTTAGCTAACTTTTGTGGGGGCCTCAGGCTCTCATCTAACCCAGGCTGACCTCCAACTTGCTATGTAGCCAGGGTTGGCCTTGAATCTATGATCCTCCTGCTTCTACTTCCCAAGTGCTGGGATTATAGATGTTTTCTCTAGCTAACTTTCAATCTCTCTCTCTCTTCTCTCCCCCTGCCCCAGTCTGTGTTATAGAATAAAGCAGTCATTTAGAAACTATAGTTGAGGTTAAGCAGCCCTTAGAGTGGTTGATATTTGTTTTGACATCCTTGCCACAAACGTTCTTTTAGATTCATTTTCTTTTCTGAAACATAAAATTGTTTGTGTGATTCCAGTATATTTTTTCTTCCTATCTTTTCTTCTCTATTTAAAAAATATTATTTTAATTTTATGTGTATGACTATGTTGACTGCATGTGTGTTAAGTGTACCTGTGTTGTGCAGTGCCCACAGAGGTCAGAAGACGGCATCGGATTCTCCTGGAACTGAAGTTAAGGATAGTTTTTAGCTGCCATGTGGAAAACCCAGGTCCTCTGCAAGAGCAATTAGTACTCAACCACTGAGCCTCTTCTTCAGCCCCATTCTCTCTCTCTCTCTCTCTCTCTCTCTCTCTCTCTCTTTTTAAAAGACTGGGTCTTAGGATATCATCCTAGGTGGGCTGAAATTTGTTTTGTAGATTTGTTTTGCCTTGAGTTTACAGCAATCCTCCTGTCTCAGTCTCTGGAGGGCTGGGATTACAGGGATGCACCATCATGCCCTCCCTCCCCTCTCTCCCCTCTTTTCTTTCCTTTCCTTGTTTTGGTCATTTTCTGGAGACAAGGCCTTGTTATATAGACAGGCTGGCTTTAACTCAATCCTCTTATCTCAGGCTTCTCTGTGTGCTGGCTTTACTGACATGTGCTACCACACCCGGATCCAGTAGAACTTTTTGTCAAACCCAAGTAATTTCTAAGTCCTATTGGTAGTAGTAATTAAAATAAGGATAAACTTTGATGGCACAGTAATATGTGTTCTAGTGCCTACACTTGGTTTGTGCTAGACATTTTGTTGTTTGAGACAGGATCTCCCCAGTACTTTCAGGTTGCCTACTTATGACCCTATAGAGTTATTACCTCTCAAAATTCTAGCAGTCCCTTAGAAAATTAGAGATAAGAACCAAAATAATACACATTTGATGCTATTGCATGTAAATGTAGTCAGCCTGCCTACAAGACAGGAAGTTGTAGCATGTTGGAGGTGGGGGTAGTAGGTTGCTCTACCCCAGAACTCATTTTTTTTTTTTTTGTTGTTGTTGTTAATTTGACAGTAATTAAGTGAAAAAAATGTAGGTAAAATTTAACTTCAGTGATTCAGCTTTCTGTTGAGAAGCCTCAAATAGTGTCCTGAATTTACAGTTTTAAAAGAATTACTAGATAGAAAAACAGTCGGTCAGTCTTACTGTAATCAAATTACAATGTGGTAGCATTAATTCATTATCCAGCAGTTTTGAATTCTAATTACATATCTGAACTTATCAAATAATTTAAAGTGATAGAAATAAACACGATGTTTAAATATGATAGCTTGGTTAATTAAAGGCTAGCAGGAAAAATTGATACAGGATACCATTAGGAGCCTAAAGGCCTTTGTTACTTCTAGTCCTTCATTCTTTTTCTTCTCCTTCTCTTCATTTATTGTTCTAGACACAACAAATGTCAAGTATTTGATTTGAAAACAGTAAGAATATATCCAGATAAATGAAGTTGAAAACTCATATTTAAACATTCTAATAGACTCCCGACTTGACATTCTAATTAGTCTTCTGGTTTATACATTTGTGTAGCATAAATGCAAACTACAAATGATTGTATCAAATCATGGTTTGGGGGGCAATACTTTATATTAGAAGGACATACTATAATATGAACCATATACTTCTTTTCAGTGTAGCATTTGAGGTTCAAACTTGAACTGCAGTTGTGATTGTCTACAGCTTGCTGGTTGCCTGGGTGTTATTTTAAGAAAGCAGAAGCAGCATCATTTGCACTCTCCTTATAGATCACACACCTTAACCCTGGCTTTCTGGCTCCAGTTTTTCAAAAGTGAAGACAGGATGAAGAACCATTTGCTTCTCTGGGGAGTCCTGGCCATTTTTGTTAAGACTGCTCTTGTAACAGGTAGGTGGCAAATATAAAGGAAAAAATAGAGAACAGATCTGCGTTTCAGATTTAAGTACTTAAATTTATGCTTTGGTTGGCTAGCTAGATGGCTGCTTTTCTCTAATATTGTATAGGCAGTGACATTTACACAGACAAGGCTCATTGTCATTCTTTTTATTCTTTTTTTCTGTTTGCCTACTTCAACCAACAGACTATCAGAAGTATTTTGGATAACCATAGGTAGCCAGACTTATATAAATTTCTACATTTAATTTTAAAAATCAGTAGTTCACTCCTTGAGTCTCATTAATTACCATACTAGAGAAATGAAGCAATAGTTGTGTTAATGATAGTATCACATTGTGATCTTATCTCCCCAGACTGGCACTGGTTTTAACAACTTTCTTAGGTCTGAGCCCACAATATGACATAACTCTTTAAGAGTGTTTAATGATATGCATGGTGGGTAAACTTCTGATATTTTATTTTTTGATCTTCCAAATAATTGTAAAAAGGAATACATTCTGAATAAAGAAATACAGTATTAAATTTTTCTAGAAATGCATAGGAATTAGAAGTAATACAGTGGACTGGTTTAATTATTTCTAAAAAATTGAACCTATCCATATTAAAAGAAATGTAATTAAGAATAGTCACTATATATATTTTGCTAATAGCATGAAGATACACCCTTCTAATGTTTAAAGTATGAAATATTAGTAACAATACACATACAATATATGTATATATACATAAACATAAAATATGTTTCTAAAATATATTTGTAAAATGGATGTAGCTATATATAAACTAGCTAGTCTCCATCTCCTGTTTTTTTTGTGGCAAAGTCTTACTGTATAGCATAGCCTAGTCTCAAACTTCAGATCCCCTCACTCAGCCTCCCCAGTGCTGGGATTACAGGGATGCACCCCCATGTACCACATGCAGCACGATGTGTTTTGGTATTATGCTAACAGCTTTACAGTAGCCATTTCAGAATATTATTTCCAACATGTAGTTGAAGCACTTGAGACTTAGGTGAAATAATTTCCCAAGGTCGCATGGCAGCAAGTGATAGGTGGAAGCTGGGCAATTTGAACCTGTAGCCCACATTTCTAACTACTGTCCTATTCTGCCTGCATACCTTTTAGTAAACCCATTGAGGTCATATCTACTTTGCAGTGCCATATAATTCTATTTGTTTCATCTCAAATTTAACAAATATTTATGGAGCACCTACTATGCCTCAAATGCTTTTAAAATAAAGATTTGTTAGGAAAAATACTTCCTTTTAGTGATAGAATGTTACAGTCTAGGTCTTGGTGAATCAGAAGTATTTCTACATTTGCTGGTAGATATATTAGGCTGCCTATAATGATGTCCTCCTCCTCTGTTTCTGATGAGGAATAAATTATATGCCATTACAGAATTCTATTTAATGCTTAGTAAAGAAGTCACTTTTTGACACTTAATGTATATATTTGATCAAACAACATATGTTTATTTATATTTTATTGAAAAAAATTCATGCCTTCTGCATACCAAAGTAAAGAAGATGACACTATAGGAGTAGCTTTATTCTACACTATAGGAGTAGCTTTATTCTAAATAAGTGTTATATCATCATCTTGAATTGCCCCTGACACTGCTTCTCCAACACTAAGCAGACTTGTATCAGAAGATTTACTAAGAATTATGAATAATAGCACAATACACTATAAAGTTCTTTAAGGAATTATAAGTACAATAACAATGATCTTAGCATTTTTGTAACAGTTATTATCAGTAAAACTGAAATATTGCAATTAAGTCCTCACATCTTTGAGAATTAAATTTCAGGAACAATTAGATCTCCAGTTCAGGTAAGTAAACTTAAAAAATTTCCCCCATTGTGCCTCAACTAAAAAAATTATGAAGGATTAACTCGTAAATTCAATCTATAAAGGTTAAATGATCAGAATATATAATTCTAAGTTTACTTACCCGAATTTTTAGGAATAAAACATATTTAACATCATTATTTAATTAGCATTATTAACACTATTAGTAACTATTAATTTATCTGTTAATTGATTCAACTAAAGATAATTAGAATCATTTTTAGTTTATTCTTTGCACCATACAAGACCTCTTTGATATACAGATTAAATAGACATTTAAAACTTTAATGAATGTCTATGCATTTATTTTTTCTATATAATGATATGTATTAAACTCATACCTAACAATATTTTCTAATGTTTTTTTGAGAGACGGTCTCCTTGTAGCCCTAACTGGTCTGAAACTCGCTGTCTGGAACTTGCTAAGTAGACCAGGCTGGCCTGGATCTCATAGAGATCTGCCTGTCTCTGCTTCCAGAGTGCTGGGATTGAAGGCATGTGCCACCATGCCTGGTCCTTCTAAACTGTTTTTGCAGCAAACTTTGTAGACAGCCCTTTATAGCTCTATCTTTAAAAATAGTTCTTTTAAGAAATATTAATACAGCCCTTATTATTCTATTTATTGAATCAGTGTACTGTAATGATTATTATTATTATGAAAAAGAATATAATTAGTTTAGAAAAAAATTTGGTGGAGAATAGGGAGAAAACATGCCTATTCTTAGTTCTAATACAATTTAAGAGAAAACAATTTTAAAATATTTTATTATTATTATTATTATCATTATTATTTTTATGTGTACGTGTGTATTGCCTGCATGTATGTGAGTGCATCCGTGTTGTGCAATGCCTGCGGAGGTCAGAAGAGGCTGTCGGATCCCCTGGGACTGGAGCTACAGACAGTTGTTAGCTGCCATGTGGGTGCTGGGCTTTGAACCCAGGTCTTCTGCAAGAACAACCAGTGTTCTTAACCGCTGAGCCATCTCTCCAGCCCCTGAGAAAAAAATTTTGTAAGAAGAAATGAGAGTTCAGGAAGGATGTGATATTTCAAATTGGATATTTAAGGACTAATGCTTTTTTTTTTGTGCACTTTGAATTAATTTCTTTGGTTGAGGAAAAGTCTAGATTTTTGTTTTCTTTCTCACTTTGGTATTTATCACTGATTTTTATAGGTGACAGCATTAAAAAATTAGAAGCATTAGATAATAATCAGAATTCTTTTAGTTCAGATTCTCATTAACTGGTCCAATAAAAAAAGAAAATTCCTTTTTGAGTCCATTTAGATTTCCTTTGCTCCTTTAGACTAGAAAAGAAAATAGAAAATCTGGGATTGATGAATGATAAAAATTAATTTTTCTGAGCCATGAGTGGTGGCACACATCTTTAACCCTGGCACTTGGGAGGTGGAAACAGGAGGATCAGGAGTTCAAAGCCAGCCTCAGCTACATAGTGAGTTCCAGGCCAGCCTGGGCTACAGAAGACAGGGGTCTTATGTCTTCAGACTAGAAAGATAAATTAACTTATCCCTTTTTTAGAGGAGGGAGGGAGGGAGGGAGGAGAGAGAGAGAGAGAGAGAGAGAGAGAGAGAGAGAGAGAGAGAGACAGACAGACTATATATAATGGAAGCTGTACTGAAATTTACTACATAGCCCAGTCAGGCTTTGAATCTCTCAGTTTTCCTGCTTGAGTTTTCCAAGTACTGGGATTACAGGCATGAATAACTATATCCAGGAAAACAGTTTTTGTTCCCCTTTTCTTAATATGCTTTACCTTTCAAACCCAAGGTGGTGAAAGGACTGTTATCGCTGACAATAAATGCATGTGTACCCGAGTTACTTCCAGGATCATCCCTTCCCCCGAAGATCCCAATGAGGACATTGTGGAGAGAAATATCCGAATTATGTACGTGGTATTCTGATTTCTTTTCCCTGTTGAAAGCAGATACGTTATGTTGTTAAGCTATTATTTTGAAGGGCAAGTAAGCAAGGTTTATTGAAGTAGCAGGAAGGGGTCTCAAAAGGGAGCTGCCCTATTAAGCTTTGTTTAAATGTAGTATTTATATTGTTATTTCCATCCCGATGTGTAGCACCTTACAGGCTGTATCTTGCTGACGTCATCTTGGTGATACGGAATTTTGTTAACAAGCTTGAGGAAATTTTACAAAGGTTGAGGGCAGAAAAAAATGTTCCAATCTAAAACCAATCGGCTGGTCAGATTATAGTCAAAGGTTCTTATTTGGTCATCAACATGCCCTGTGATTTCAGTTTGAATCAGAACTTTCAATTATCCTTAATCAGTTCAAACTGAAGCTTCACATAACATTAAACACTTGATTTTTGTCCTGTAACTATTCACTATTGAGTATTTTACATTGTTTACATAAAGATGAAACAAACTAATAAAAATTAGCTAACATAATTTTCACTCATAGATTGGACTCAGCTATTTATTTCAAGATATCCGAGTTATATGTGAGGTGTCTCTAAATCAATAGTAAAAATGCTAATAATATTTGATTTCTACATGTTCCAATCAGCAATAAATTTTCCTAATTAATATTCCTACCATAATAGTTTGATCCAATCAAATGCCCCTTATAGGAGGAAAAACATAGCATTCAGTTCCATTTAATCAATGGGAAAATATGATGTGTACTCTTAATAATAACTGTGTACTCTTACAAATAACCAAATTACTTATCCACTCCAATCTCCAATTTCTCACTTTAAATAGAAGAAAAATGTGAGTACTTCATAGGATTATTGTAAAAATAAATTAAGAATATTTATTCCTTTTAAAGTTTGTATAGTTTGGCATATATATTAAAATACTATTATTTATTCACCTAATCTTTATGCTTTTTATTATTACCACTGTCTTGCAAAGCTGCAGTTGGTGGTTTCCTCAATACTGGATGTATTACAAACATGTCTTACCTACTCTACAAAGCTTAGCGTAACTCTCAAGATTATTTATTGCAGTTTTTCTTCATATTTAAAAACTCAGGATCCTGTCGTTTTTTAAAAAAATATTTTATATTTTTTTTTACTTTATGTTGTATGCATGCATTGCCTGCATATATGGAAGTGCACTTGTGTCATGCAATGCCTGCGGAGGACAGAAGAGGGTGTCGGATCCCCTAGAACTGGAGTTACGGACAGTTGTTAGCTGCCATGTGGGTGCTGGGACCTGAACCCAGGTCTTCTGCAAGAACAGTCAGTGTTCTTAACCACTGAGCCATCTCTCCAGCCCCCAGGATCCTGTAGTTTTTTCATTTCTTCACATTCACAGTGTTTTCTACCTCTTCTGTTTTTACAACTACTGATTCCTCTGTTTAAGAACATTTTTTACCATACCACTCAACTTGACTAACTCTTCCTCAATCTGCATGTCTTAGTTTAGCCATTACTTCCTACAGCAGGTCTTGTTTGAGCATGCAGATCCCACCCATAGACTCCTTGTTAGTCATAGAACACTTGTGGAAGAAACAAACAGACAAACACCATGAAAAAAAATATATATATATATATGTATATATATACATATGTAGGGCTCTGAGGATTAAATAGAATGGTTTATTGAAGAACAGTGTTTGACTCACAATAGACCCTCATAAATATTTTTTTCCTGTCATTCTCTTATTATTTAAAAACCTTTACTGGGGCCAGCAGCTCTGTGGATAAAGGTACTTGACACCAACAAATTGAGTTTGATCTCCAGCAGCCATATGGTGGAAGGAGAGAACTAACTCCCCACAGTTGCTCCCTAACCTCCACACATGTGGATGGCATATGCATACCCCCCCTTTACCTGCAATACAATAAATAAATGTTAAAAAAACTTTTTTGGTATTGTAAGAGACTTTATAATCTAATTAAAAATCATTAGGTGTGGTGGCTCATGCCTTTAATCTCAACACTTGGGAGACAGAGGTAGGCTGATAGCTGAGATTGAGGGAAGCCTGGTCTACATAGCAAGTTCCAGGCCAGCTGGGACTACAGGGAGACCCCGCCTCCAAAAGCAAAAAAAAAACAAAAAACAAAAAACAAAAAACAAAAACAAACAAACAAACAAAAAAGTGAGTGCCAAATGTTGAGGATTGGTACTGGGGATACAATATAATGTATATAAAGTAGTCCATGATGAGCTGGGTGTGGTAGCACAGGTCAGTAATCCCAATGCTTGAGAGATGAAGGAAGAATGTAATCAGAAGTTCAAGGTCATCCTTGGCTACATAGAAAGTTTGAGGTCAGCCTGAGCTACATGAGACACTGTCTCAACACCAGCCAACCAACCAAACAAACAAAAAACCCAAACAACCCCCCACAAACTATAAAATAAAATATTCCATCAAGGAGTTTATTTCTAGTAGGAAACTTGGAGGAATTAAAAAGGCAATTACAATACTATCATATGCTATAAAACAAAACAAAGTCCAATACTATATTGTAAATGCTATGGGAAGAATAGACATAAGATGTTACAGAAGTGCTAAGGGAGGGCACTTGTCTTTTCATGGGACAGTGGCAGTGGGAGGCAAGAAGGAGTATTTGGAGGAAGTGGTGGAATGGGTGAAGGCTCCCAGCCTAATGGGAGTTAGCTAGGTAAATATATATGAGAAGGGAGAGGGTTGATAGCTAGGGCAAGTTGTCACAGGAAAAAGAAACAAGATTACCTATAAGAGTTACATGCAACAGGCTTAGCAGAGTACTGGGCATGCTGTAAATACTTAGTACATGTTAGAACTAGTATAGTTAAGATTTGGAGATTAAAAAAAAGCCTGTTAAGTTTCTACAGTTGCAAGCAGTTGTAAACAACTGGCTCGTACTGTGAAGAGGTTCATGATGGGGGATGAAGCTGAAGAGCTGGGCACATTATGAAGTATTTTTCTTTTTCTTTTTCTTTTTCTTTTTTTTTTTTTGAGACAGGGTCTCCCTGTAGCCCCAGATGGCCTGGAACTCACTATGTAGATCAGGTTGGCCTTGAATTTACAGAGATCTGCCTGGCTCTGCATCCCAAGTGCTGGGATTAAAGGCCTGCACCACCATGCTTGGCTATATAAAGTACTTTTCTATGCTATGTTAAGAATACCTTGTTATGTGTGGGAGAAACCCTGTAGGTTTTAAGGACAGCGGAAAAATTGGGTTTGCAGTTTAGAAAGGTTATTTTGACAACAATGTATCGGTGTGGTCAAGACACGAAGAAGATATCCCTATATTCTGGGTGAGGAATGGTGGTGTCCTGAACAAAGGCAGTAATAGTAATAAGAGGGACTGTGATGGATTTCACACACACAGATAGAGTTAACTTGAAATTGATTAGATCTAAGTCATGATCGGAACAGGGATTCAGGGATACCCAAGTTTTGAGTTTGAATACCTATGTGGACTGTATGGCTGAAACTGATTTAGGAAACACATGTTTTTCTTTGTTTCTTTAGGAAGGTATGGGTGGCTATGAGGAAGAGTGATGACATAGGTGAAAAAATATAAAAGCTAGTGAGGCCATCGGAACCTCTTGATAGTACTTCTACTTTTCATGCGTCATAGTTCCAGCTTTGCTACCTAATTATTCTGTGAACTTGTTTAAATCTTTTATAATTTATCATGTATAGTTTTTACAACTTTAAAATATAGAAAATGATATTTGTTTGCTTTTTTAATTCTACAAGTATTGAACACCTTCTGCATGCACCAACACACATAATTTTATGTAGCCTAGGAAAGCAACTATTGTATGGATAAGAAATGGTGATATTTAATCCATAATAAATTATTGTAAAACTAAGTAATAATTTACAATAGTGTTTAAAGTCATGATGAGTAATGTTCTAATTAAACAGTGATACTAATCTAGCAAGACTCCTATTACCAAAAATAACAATTTGTCTTTTGCTTTGTTTTCTTTCTTTCTTTTTTTAGTGTTCCTCTGAACAACAGGGAGAATATCTCTGATCCTACCTCACCACTGAGAACCAAATTTGTGTACCATTTGTCAGACCTGTAAGATTTTTCCTTCATATTAATATATGTTGAAGTTAAGAACTTTTACTTAACTTTATTAATAATAGTATCTCTGAAAATATATTGGAGTATAAACATTGACAAATGTCTAACTTTTGAATGTACTGATTCCTATGTAAATTATTAGGTATCATAAATTCATAAAACTTTGTCACAGAAAAATAGTAGTTGTAAATTTATTCCAAAGAAGAATTATCATGATTCATATAGAAAGAGCCAATTTATTTTAACATTTAAATAAGTAAAATTTAGCTTACATGTTTCTTTTGAGATGACAGAATCCAATATTAGGTTTTAGATTTTTTAAAATTAATTTATTTACATTTTATGTGTGTTAGTGTTTTGCCTGCATGTAGTAATGCACCAGTGTGTGCAGTGCCTGCAAAGGCCAGATGAGGATGATGGATTCCCTGGAACAGGAGTTACAGATGGTTGTTAGTAGTCATGGGGGTTCTGGGAACCAAACCCGGGTCCTGGTTTCTCCAGCCCCAACATCTTTTTATTTTTATTTTTTAAAATATTCCTGGGGCAGTGGGCAAGAGGACTGAGAGTTCAAGGACAGCCTGGGTTACATAGTGAAACACTATTCCTCCAATTATAGATCTATATAAATATTTATATCTCTCTATGTATTAATATATATGTATATATTCTTCTTATCAGAGGGGGGACTGTTAGAGTAGCCAAAAGCCCCGTTAAAAAAATAAATAAATCAAAGAAGGAGTACATGGAGTTATCAAAAAAAGTGATGGGGAGATATGGGAGGAGTTGGAGGGGAAGGAGTGGGCATGGATTTAATCAAACCACCTTATAGGCATGTATGAAATTCTCAAATTATTTTTAAAAATAACTCATTGAGATAAGTATACAGAAATTGCAGCATGGTATAGGTAAAATAACCATATTATTATATCACTAATTATATTGCTGACTTTCAAGTATTTTCTATATATTAAAGGTTGAAGAATCTCATAAAATAGTTTGTGTTGTAGAAATGATTGGGTCTGTAAGGAATAGTCATTTATTATAGGTCAGAGCTGCAAGAACTAATTCATTTTAGATAGAAATGTATAGTTACTAATTTTTGACACGTCACTTACTCAGGGATGTCAAATGCTTGTATCTTTTCTTCAGCTGTAAGAAGTGTGATCCTGTAGAAGTGGAGCTGGATAATCAGGTAGTTACTGCCACCCAGAGCAATCTCTGTGATGAGGACAGTGCTGCTACAGAGACCTGCTACGCTTATGACAGAAACAAGTGCTACACAACGTTGGTCCCACTTACATACGGTGGTGAGACCAAAATGGTGGAAGCAGCCTTGACCCCTGATTCCTGCTACCCTGACTAATTTGAGTCCCTGGTCACTGTACAGCTCTGTCTTTAGAGGCTCTCCATTTGGATCAAAAAAGTTATATTTACTGCCAATGGATTTGAAATCAAGATTTTTTTGGGTGGAAGGATGGTACAAAACATTCCCTCTAGTTCAGACATTAGCGTTGTTATCTTTATTAGGCAATCATTTCTCAATTCTAAGTATTAAACCCTCATGCTTGTCTGAGGAGCTATTTTCAAGAGTGTATATTCTAGCTTTTAAAAACATAAACAATGGGAGAAAATAAAATTCAAAGAGTAAAAATCAGGAGGCATAATTAAATCACTTCTGTTTTGCCTTGGAGAGCCAGAGCTTTTGTACCCTCTATTCTTTTCTCTCTCTTAACGTTTCACTGTGTAGAGAAAATATATGTGTAAACATAGGTTAATCAAATATCTTCATTAAAAATCATAGAGAACATGTTTTGGAACTATTTACTAAAATGGGGTCTCTATGAAGTGAGTTTGCTGAAAGTGATACAATTTGATACATAAATGAAAAAAATTATACAGACTTGGCACCAGATTATTTTGATAAAATTTTTGACAGTCATATTAGTGTCTGAAATTCCTATGGGAAATCATCTGTGTTGCAGCTGAATCTAATTACATTTGTGTTCTGCAATATGTATTCTCTAGCACAATCTGAACAATTAAATAGATTCATAAGCATATACATGTGTGAAATAATTTATTGGAAAAAAGTTTGTGTTAACTTTCTTATGTGTAAATTAAATATAATTTACTGCTGATGAACAGTTTGTAAGTATGATGAAGAGATTTTAGCTCTTACAAATTTCCATGTTTTGCAGCTGCTGGGAATTGCTTAATCATTGCTTTAGAATGATAAACCTTTGCTTCCACCTAGTGGTTAGGTTACAAAGTAAAATGACTGAAATTTATTTATTTATTTATTATTTATTTATTTTACTGTATATTTTTAATTGAATTTTTGTGCATTTCATAATTCTTAACCATATTTAGGGCCCCTTCCCTAGATGGACCCCCATAACCCACCCACTGGATTTCATGCATTTTGTCATATATGTTAACTCTCTTAAAGAAGACCAGCTCTCCCTCACCCAGCAGTGATCAGTTGCCGATAGTTCCTTGGCTAAGGTTGGGGCCTCCTGCCCACTTCCCCAGTTCTATGCTGGGTTTCTGCCTGATTGACTTTGCATGGGTCTTGTGCGTGCTTGTTACCACTACTGTAAGTTCATATGAACAAAATCCTAGACTCTGTTTCCTTATGGTTATGCATCCCCCTGGCTCTTACAGTCTTTCTTCCCTTCTTCCTCAATGGTCCCTGAGCCCTGGGTGGATGAGGTTTAATATGAGTCCTATCCAGGGACACACACTCTGTAGTCTCTACACTTTGGCCAGTTGTGGCCTTCTTTGTTCACCTCCCTCTGTTGAATGAGGAAGAGTTCTCTGGTGAGAGGTGACAGATGCATTAGTACTCTCGCTACCCCCCCCTCGTTCCACTGTGTTCCATAAGCCTTGGGTATAGAGGTTCCATTGTCAATATATCACTTAGGACTGGACATTTCACAGACACTTCACATCCATGTGTGGCCAGTTGTGGAACTCTGTAATAATTTCCATCTGTTGCAAAAAGAAGCTTCTTTGATCAATGGTGACTGGTGTACTTGTCTGTAAATATAAAGATCCATATTTAGCATATAGCAAGAAATTATGTTTGTTTGGGCTAGAAAGATAGCTCAGCGATTAGGAGTACTGACTGCTCTTGCAGAGGACTGGCGTTTCATTGCCAGCATCCATATGGGGCTAAAAACCATTTGTAACTCCAGTTCCAGGGGATCTGATACCCTCTTCTGACCTCCCCATGACATGGGTGCTCTTACAATACACTCATGCACATAAAATAAAAAAATAATAAATAAAATAGTAAATAAGTTACGTTTGTCTAGGGATGTGACAGATGTAGGGTTTTCTCTAGGATCTTTCCAGCTGTGTGTATTTAGCTATGTTTGCAGTGCCACACATGAGTTCCCTCTCACTGAGAGGGCTTTAAGTCCAATTAGATAGCTGTTCATTACCCCCAAGATAAAAGTGTCCCTATTACACCAATCTAGTTTGCTGGGTTGGTCATTGTTGTGGTTAGTGGTTATTACGCTTTAAGCTGGGGTTTGACTATTGATTGGTTTTCTCCCTAAGCAGTTTGCATAGTGTCCCCTGATACTATGAGAGCTAGTCTTCAGGGAGGAGGCTTCCAGGTCTGTTCCATCTCCATTGCTCCTGTCTTCAGCAATAGGATCTTATCTTCAAGATCAGGGAGGTAATCAAGGGCTGTGGCAATGGCCTTGTGTTATTTTGGGAGTTGGTCGGAGACTACTCTGATCAACAACTCAAAGGAGGTTTCTCCTGTCTGATACTCCTTCAGCTATATACATGCACTCATGTGCAGATATTGTGTGTGTATTTTTCAGTAGGCTTTTGAACTAATATATTTCCCTCTGGTTTTTCATACCACTTAAGCTTTATTATCTTTCCCTTCTCCCTGTCTAACCCTCCCTCATCTCTGCCCAATTAAAGTACCCCCATTTTCCCCTTGGTAATACTTTACTCCTATTATCCCCTCTCTTTTGCGCTCTTTCTTCCTCTTTACCCCCATGGTTCCTTGTATGATTTTCCCTCCTCCTGTCCCAGTTAAATACCCCATTTTCCCCTGTTCCTCCTTGGTAACATCTGTCGCTTACTATCCTCCCACCCTCAGGCTCTCTTGCCCTTTAACTCCATGGTTCCTTTCTATTTTCCTGGCTCCTGTGGTTACATCAGAATATACACTCACGTGTAAGGACTTGGTGCTAAGATGCACAAATGAGAGAGAACATAATTCTCTTGTTTTTCTGAGTCTGTGTTATTTCACTTAATGTAACAGTTTCTAGTTCCATCCATTTACTTGCAGATTTCATGATTTCATCTTTCTTTACCACTGAGTAGAACTCCATTGTGTAATTGTACCACATTTTCATTATCCATTCAGTTGAGGGACATTTAGGCTGTTCCCGTTTTTTAGCTACTGTGAAAAGAGCAGCAACAAATATGGCTATACAAATATTCTGCAGTAGGAGTGCTTTGGGTATATGCCAAGGAGTGGTATAACTGGATTGTATGGCAGATTCATTTTTAGTTTTTAAAGAGTTCTCCATACTGCTTTCTACAGTGGTTGCACAAGTTTGCGTTTCCACCAGCAGTGAATGAATGTTGTTCCCCTTTCTCCACATCCTTACCAGCATTTGGTGTCTTTTGTTCTCTTCATCTTAGCCAGTTTGACTGGGGTAAGATGAAATCTTAAAGTGGTTTTGATTTGCATTTCCTTAATTACTAAGGACGTTGAACACTTAGTCTTCTTTTGGGAACTCTCTGTTAACATTCATAGCCCATCTTTTAATTGGGTCATTTTTTTTCTTGATTCTCTGCTTTTGGGTTCTTTGTGTATTTCAGATTTAACCCTCTGTCAGATGTGTACCTGGTGAAGATTTTCTCCCACTCCGGGCTTCCTCTTCACTTCTTTTTTTTTTTCTTTTTTCTTTGCTGTGTATAACACCAAGTCTCAAACTATATTACAGAGCTATAGTCATAAAACAACATGGTATTGGCACAAAAACAGACACTTAGATCAATGGAACATAATAGATCCAAGCATGAGAGCATGCAATTTCAACCACTTGATATTTGACAGAGGTGTGAAGAACACACACTGGAGGAAAGACAGCATCTTCAACAAATGGTACTGGCAAAACTGGATATATACCCATTAGAAGAATAAAATTAGACCCTTATCTATCACCCTGCACAAAATTAACTCCAAATGGATCAAAGACCTCAATGTGAAACCTGAAACTCTGAAACTGTTAGAAGAAAACATAGGCAATACCCTACAAAATATAGGTGTAAGAAAGGACTTTCTAAATAGGACATCAGTTGCTCAGGCATTAAGGTCAACAATCAACAAGTGTGACCTTATCAAACTTAAAAGCCTTCTGTACAGTAAAGGAAACAACCAAGGACATGACTATACATTTTTAATGTGCACTGCCTCATTTAATCCTCAGAGGATTCGATGAAAAAGTGTTCTATTTGTTTTCATTTTGTAAATGAAAGAACTGGGATGTAAAGAAAATTCACACATTTGAAGTTTTGAGAAAGAGAGAGAGAGAGAGAGAGAGAGAGAGAGAGAGAAGAGAGAGAGAGAGAGAAACTGCACCCAGAGGTCAGAAGACAATTTGTAGGGAGTAGGTTCTCTTTTCTCCATCTTGTATGTCTGGGGTATGGAACTCAGGCTGCTAGGTTTAGCAATAAGCACCTTTACCTGCTGTGCCATCTTCCTAGTCCCACACGCTTAAAGTTTTAAAAATAATATATAGAGAACTGATAATTGCAGCTAACAACGTGAAAGCCCAGACTCTGATTTATTTAGTATGTTATCTTGTATTAAAACATTTCTAGCTGGTTGTGGTGGTGCACGCCAGTAGGATATGCTGAAGAGGCAGAGGCAGGAGGATCACGAGTTTGAGGCCAGCCTGGGCTACACATTTTAAAAAGAGTTATATTTGAGGAGGAAGCATAAAAATTTATGTCATGTTAATTAGTAGAGGTGATAAACATTACCTTTGAAATGTACCCGATGACTTCATAGACATACCAAGACTAGTAATAATCAGATACATACATATTAGAGACACATGCACCAATATCTCAGTGTTATTAGCAAAAACAATGAGTCTCTCTGTAAAAAACGGTACATTTTAAAATGAAATAGAGATCTTTTAAAAAAGTATTTATTTAATAACCACATACTTAGAAGAAGCATTTCATTACAACAGCACTGACATATTCAATAACGATTTCCTGAGCTAAGATGCATCTCTTTCAAATTGGCAGTAATTTTTAGGTTTACAGTTGAATTATTACAGTTATACAATATTGTACTTAGTATAAACCCTATAAGACATAAAACTAAATGAGGTTTTAAACTTTAAAAAAGAACTCCATTTTATTACTAAAATACACAGTTTCATACAGAAAAATTCATTTTTAATGTAATTGACACTAAGATGTTTGCACATGTGTTTCTACTCTCTATGCTCTGGAAACTGTTATTGAGTATATTAAAGCTGTGATGAAATGCTTCTAAGAAAAGTAATAAAAAAAACATTTCTAGAACATTTTTCCCATAATTCTACTTTTGAGAAAATGACCAGAAATACTGACAAAGAAGAGTAGAAATGTTTACAATGACATCACTTACAGAAGTGCAAATTAATAAGAAACCTTCAGTCTGTTTTCAAGCAACTATAATTATAACTAATTTTGATTGCCAACCTGGTGGTATTTAGAATCACCTAGAACCATACCTCTAGGTGTGTTTGTGAGGGTGTCTCTAGAAAGGTTTAACTAAGAAAAGAAGACCCATCTTGAAGGTAGGCAGCACTATTCCATGGGCTGGGGTTCTGGACTGAATATAAAGGAACACAGGAAAGAGCCAGTGGAGCACCAGCTTTCTCACTGTGGATGGAATGTTCTTTAATCCCTTTCCTGGTTTGGGTTGAGGAGCAGCAGCATATGTAGAGGGTAAATCTATGGCCTAAGCTGAAATTTAGACTTTAAGTGACTATATAGCATTGGGCAAGTTAATTCAGTATAAGAT